CGACGTCTTGCGCGTCTCGGAGCACGAGTGGGTACCTGCGGACGCCGTGCTGCTGCTCACGTCCGAGCAAGGGCAGATCGCGCACGTCGAGACGTCCAACCTCGACGGCGAGACCAGCCTCAAGGTCAAGACGTGCCCGTCGTACGTCGACGTTGTCCTCGAGCGCGCCGAGCATCTGCGCTCGGTGGTGGGCACCGTCCGCACCGAGGCGCCCCACGAGTCCCTCTACACGTTCGAGGGCGAGATTGCGATGACGGACAAGGCGTCACCAACCAGCGCGTCCACCACGAGCTTGCACATGGACAACGTCGTGCTCCGGGGCACCAAGTTGGTCAACACCGAGTGGGTGGTCTGCGTCGTCGTGTACACCGGGCGCGACACGAAGCTGCTCTTGAGCACGAAAGCGGCGCCGTCGAAATTCTCCCGCGTCGACGCAATCGCGAACCGGTGCATCCTCCTCCTCTTCGTGCTGCTTGCGCTCGCCGTGACGCTGAGCGCGGCCGGGACCGTCTACTACGAGGCCGCGCTGCACCAGCACACGTACCTTCAGAGTCCGTCGCCAACTTCGTTTGTGACCGCCTGGGTCACGCACCTCATCTTGTACAACAATTTGGTGTGTTCAATACGGTGGCCGGGGGCATAAGATGCTAAATCTTAGGTTCCGATTTCGCTCTACATTAGCTTGGAAGTGGTCAAGTGGCACCAAGCCCGGCGTATGGAGCGGGATCCGAACTTGGTACTGCGCTCTTTCATCTCGCGTTCGCTCGTGATGGGGCATGGGGTAGACGGTCGATGGCGTGCCGACGCGCGTGCGGACGACCAACCTCAACGAAGACGTCGGGCAAGTGAGCTACGTCTTTAGCGACAAGACGGGCACGCTCACCAAGAACGAGATGGCCTTTCGCATCTGCAGTATCCACGGTGCCATCTATGACGTACATCGCTTCTCTCGGTATAGTTTAACGTTCACAATGGCCACTATTAGGACGCATCGACGCCGGTGCGTCGCCGCCAGAAACCGAGCTCGATCGCCGCCAACTGGATCCACCAGTCGCACGACGACCTACTGCAGCGAGGCAGCGCGCTCGAGCCCGTCAAAGACTTCTTCCGGTGCCTCCTCCTCTGCCACACGGCGACGGCGGCGCAGACTGTGATTCGGTCCACGTCGCCCGACGAAGTCGCTCTCTTGAACGCGTGCCATCGCTTCAACTGCGCCTTTGAAGGCCGGAGTCACAACCTGCTGCGCATCCGCGTCTTTGGCAAGCTCGAAGAGTACACGCTCCTGAGCCTCCATGAATTCGACTCGGACCGCAAGTGCATGTCGGTGGTCGTCCAGCGCAACCCGGTTCCTGACGATCCTTCGAGAGCATCGAGCAAGACGATCCTCGCACCAGTCGTGGTCTATGTCAAGGGCGCCGATGCGAGCATGCTGCCGGCGTCCCACGACTCGCTTCTGAGTCTGCACGTCCACTACTTTGCCTGCATGGGTCTCCGGACGCTCGTCTTTGGGCAAAAGATTCTGCCGCCGTCAACGTTTACCGCCTACATGGGTAGCAAAGCCAAGGATGCGGCTACGGCGCTGCGGCACCTCGAGGCCAACGTTGATCTGCTCGGCGCCACCGGCATCGAGGACCGACTACAAGACGGCGTCAAGGCCTGTGTCCGCAAGCTCGCCGACGCCGGTATCCACCTCTGGATGCTCACGGGCGACAAGGATGAAACAGCGGTGGCGATCGGCCACGCGTGCGGGCTCATTCCCCCGAGCGCGCGACTGCTCGTGCTCGACAAGCGCACGAAGCAAGACTGCCTCGATCAGATCACGCACCTGCGCTACGTCCTCAAGAAGGACGGGCTCTGGGCGCCGCACAAGCCGAACGCGCAGCTGTCGCTTGTCCTCAACGGCGTGGCGCTTGAGTGCCTGCTCGCGGCGCCGCCCGTCTCGAAGCGCAGCAGCATCGTGCCCAGCGTCCAGTTCGAGTGCGCGACGGTCACCCTCGCTTCGTATACGGACGGCCCGACGGCCCTTGATGGACCTCGTGAGCCAGTGCGGCAGTGTCATCGCCTGTCGCTTGTCGCCGTCGCAGAAGGCCGAGATTGTGGCGATGGTCAAAGCCAGCCCCAAGGCGCCCGTGACACTTGCAATT